ACATGAACCAAAACACATTTACCTCTATATCTTTCCAACTAGTAGCCGAAACTTAATATGTAAGGTACCGTTTTAAAGGTATTGGCCTATAAAATAACACTAAATATATTGGGTGTGCCCACATGCCCCCTTAAACCGGCAAAAGAAAAAAACTTTATTTGTTTCGCAACACTTTAGCCTAATTGTTAAGAATCCGGTTAGTCGTTTACGAAGCTTGAATATATTTTCTGGACACACTCTGCAAGACCTTTTCAACGATATCTCAAACATGTCGATTGGACGTCTGGATAAAAACTTCCAAATCTCGGGTATATATAAGCGAGTCATTTCAGCATGCTACTGTTGCTGCTTTCGTCACTCGCGCGCACTGCCGTGCGCCGTGATACCGTCGTGAGCATGTCACGAAAATACGGCCATTGCTCATAACCCCCATAAAATGTTTCCGTATCGCACGGTGGGACCTTTAAGCCGAAGCTAGAGTTTTCCTGGGGTTGAGAAATACTGGGAGTAGGCGTGGTATTTCTTGCTTGATTAAGAAGCAGGAGTTGATCACCAATCTGGGCTTTCGTATCTTCATACGTTATGAGACATGACCTGTATTTATTATACGCGGAGGCTTTGAAATCCTCAGGAAGGTCTTGGTCCTCAGTCTCTACTACTAAATCATATGCGCTCTGGACTCGATTCCAAAAATTATCAATGTTCTTGTCTTTAATTTTTAGTGCTGACTCAGCATTGGATTTGAGTTGTACTGAATCGGGTACAGTAATCCATTGAATTGTCTGTCTCAGAGATAAATTTAGGGGCAACGACTGACTCCTTGGGTTTCTTATTGGACCTTCCGCTTGCACGCGTACCTCGTTGAGATTCAGCGGAAGTTCCTTGTTGCTTCTCATCATCACTCATTTTTGAACTTTTAGATTTAGCGTCACTATGAGGTGCGGCAAGCATTAACGAGATAACTTTAAATTTTATTTACGGGACGGAGATCAAAGAGAGTAGAGAAAAAAAATTGTATTGCCGGTCTAAATTAAAGTTATTGTGGGTGAGCGCAAAGAGAGGGGTTCGATATCTATATGTGTATAGAAATTTTTATTTTTTTTTTTAATGGGGTATTATTCGCCGATTAATTGCAAACCACAATTTCGCTCTGGGGATGGTCGCTGGGATCACGGAAAGAGTTTTTTCTTTTAGAATTAAAGATTACTTAATCTTTTGAATAGTTCGGGAAAAATTAAGTGGTGTTAAAAAATTTTTAATTTTTTTAGTGGTATGTACCACTGTATCCACTTTATTATTATACCGGA